ACTGCTACAGAACAGATAGCATTGAAACTGCATGCATGTTAGCATACTAGAGTTAGCAATTAGCTCAAAGCACTGTCATGCTTAACTACAGCCTGACAGAACGCCAGTGGCTAACACTATAGCCTGGCTGTAAGTCTTGTTTGATTTGTTGTGGATTCAATTACAATTATTCATGATCCTCCATCAAAGCAACTGATCTTGTCATTCGCACTTTGATCTTAAATCTATCATCTATCCCTCCTATTTTGGCTCAAAGGTGAATGCTCACCAAACATAACAAATCTTCCTCTTTATTTCTCAGCACAACAATACATTGATTAAAATACTTCTCGTTTCCTTTTGTCAATCTGTGTTTTCTTGTTCCACCGAGTGACATCATACGCTCGACCCGGCTGAATGGAGACAGCTTGTGTAACCTCAGTGATGTGCTGGTGACAGTATGGTGGTGACGTGTGTGTTGTTTTGGCCACAGCACACACACAATTGCCATGCACTTCCCATTAGCAACAGGAAACCCCTTGAGTCATCCTGGAGTGGAGCTCTGAGTGTAAGGCAACTATTTCAGTGAAATCATGTGTTGAAGAGGGACTGACAAAGGCCGAGTTATGAAATGATGTTCTTGGGACATGAAGGGAAGTAAGCTGATCTTTTCAAGTGAAATTCTGCTGATGAGGGCTTTAGGGGGCTGACTTTTCCCAGTAAAGAGGGCAAAGATGGAAATAGTTGAATTTTATTTGATCTTTGGTGGATGTTGTACAGTCTTCCAACAACATTTATTAACTGGTCAAACTAAACATTTCAATGTAACCATGTTCCTGTGGTTATATAAACATAATCAATAGAGATGCTTCTTCATTGAGAGCATGTGTATTGTTTATAAAGTATGAACACCTATATTGTAGACCAATGTGTAAGATGGCTACTTAGCTCAAAACCCTTATCGGCTCTTCTGGAGGCCTGTGCTGGACCAACACCTTAATGACACATTTGTACAGATCACAATTCAAAGTACAACCAATCACCAAATATGTATACAACTATAGTGACATGGTTATGTTTGTTTTGTGTAAACATCCCATTGAAAAATAATTGTGTCAATAATTCATAACTTTGATTGACCCTGGAGACTTAAAAATATCCATTTTTACTTTCTGCATGTTCAAACAACATTAGGCAACGGAGCATCTTGTAATTATGAAGCAAAAAGGTCAATAACTAAATAGGAAATGTAATCATAAATATATTTATGATTTCTGAAACACTGGGATTGTCAATAGGAATCAACATTTCCATTTAACATCTGAGTAATGGATTGTATACTGCATATATCTCTGCTCACAGTGAATGCATTGTTTTCAGTGCGTCACCACATTTCACATTATTCATTACAAAATGAGGAATTTTATTTTTCAGCTGAAGCTTTACAACTTCTTAAACTCTCTGTGCTGAGCATGACAACTCCCCTGTGTGAGAACAAATGTTTTCAATCAACCGGGGAGCAATGTGTAGGTGTGTGTCCTGGTGTACGAAGCTATTAGTGGCTCTTGTGCTGTAAAATCAGAAAATAGCATATTGTAAAAATGTAATTCAGTATTGTACATGGTTTTGAATTTCAAAAATCCTTTCTGTTGCCAACATTCAGTCTCTCCTTCCTACCACCTCAGACTCTGTCAAACAGATCAAAGAAATAGTGAGTGACAAGTTGGGATAACAAGCAAAGGAAGGCAGACATTTTGGGCCAAACTACAGTCTGGAATCCATCCACATGAAACAATCCCCCATCTCAGCTCCTGGTTTGATTGATTGTCCTTGAGGTCAGCCAAGGTTGTAAAAATACAGAGCATATTCAGTAGAGATGGTTATTGCGGGGTGATGACTAATTTTGGATGAAACCTCACTTGAGTTCATACAGTTCACGGTGTCTAGGAGCGTAAGATATACAGTAGAATGAAGGAGTATCACATACTTCTAAGACCTGCTATCTGTTGTTCTAAAGGCAGAATTCTTAACATGAAGGAAACTCGTCATCACTCAACATTTTTATTGCTAGTACAAAGTTCAATATCAAGAAGCCCACTTCTATCGGCACTTTAATTCTACATTCAAATAAATGTGTCAGCTATCCAAACACAATGATAATGGCCTAAAGACAACTTAAAAATATATATATTAAAAATGTGCCAGTATAATACCAATAGAGGAAGATGGTGGACCTGTAAAAACATTACTGTTGCATACAGTATACTAGCGTCCTTCTTTTCTCAAATGCCCTATTTTAGATCATATATGTGGTCAAAGTTAAGCTGTTATTTGAATAATACACCATAATATTAAAACATTTGGAGGTGCAATGTGCCCATGAAACATTGTTTTGCTATTTTAGTGTCCTGGTGTTTTGCCTGCTGGGTTACTGTCACATTGCTAAGGCTAACGCAGCATCAATGTCAAATTGTTCAGACCGTAATTATGAGCAGCCAAGACGGAAAAGAAATATCAACACAAGCCTAGGTCTTACTCCGAATTGGAGGTTAAAGGATTATTTTACTATGATGAGAGAAACAAATGAGAGAAGTGTCAACAAACTTTGAGTGCAGTATAGTTTTGTGGAAAATGTTCATCATAAAAACATCTATGTATACCCTATATTTGATGTCATGTATTATTTGAAGATATGCCATGATGGTACATGTTGTTGGACAATATTGTTCGATAAGCTTAGTGTTGTCTTGTTTAACCAAATATATATGCAGTTTGTCTGTTTGATGTCCCTAGTCGTGTATTTGAATGCAAAAACTATCAATAAAAGGTTAAGTGGTTTTACTTCTAACTAATCAACATTTTACTTCTAAGTCAAGTCTTGCGCCAGGCAAGTTTCAATTGTTAATTATCGTGACTAACTGTTCATCTGACTCAAGTTAAAGTCTCGTACAGCTCTGCTCAGAGAAGCTCAAATGAAGAATAATTCACAGCGATGGCTGGCTGTCAGCCAGATCAGATTGAACTATTCTCAGAGCAGATCAATTCCCAGCCTCTCTTTACCGCTGCTGGTGCTGAGTGACTCCGCTAATTATAACAAGGAGAGAGCATGCCCTGAATACTGTTTTCTCTTCCAGCTCACTTGCATGGGGACTCAGCCACACTCCTACTCAGTCGCTGTATACACACACACACACACACACACACACACACATATATATATATATATATATATATATATATATAACACACACGTACACACTACAACCTGCAGTCCAGCAACATCTTTCATAAAAGTAATATCAGCTCATACATGCAGTAGGTGACATGGTGTAATGATTAAAACATAAACTACAAATTAAGCACAGACAAATCGTCATGTCACACACATGCAAAAGACACTGTGACTTTTACACAGCCTACACAAATAAGTCACTGTTTCCAGTGTATACCTCAACACTGTTTCACACACAAACAAGCAACAAACATGCATCATCACTTTGAAGCACTGACACCCCAGGCCCGGACTATTGTCAGATAACAACAAAGCTGCAGGCCTTCCACAGCTCTGCCGCCCATTCCCACAGTGACTGTTCCTCCTGCTTTTTGAACTCCTTAAAAAGAGTGTGACAGACCAGAGAGAGAGAGAGGAAACCTGTTCCTGTGCCTGCTCGACGGCATGACAAACACACTTGCTCACAGAGACGCACGCACACATCAATCAGTTGGTGAGTCACCTTATTCATAGGACGACCACTGCACAAAGAAAGAATGCAAGGCCTAAAAATAACAGTCATCATTTCTATGGAATCTGCAGCTCATCCATGTTTGGTTGGCCGGCAGAGACAGGTTCACATGACCCCTCTGAGTCAAGTTGAGCTGAGCTGCTGTGACCTGCTCAAGTGTGTGACCTCTTGGGGAAGGAACTGTATTGGAAATGTGGAAAGAAATGGTTTGGAACGGCATGCTTCTGTTTGGCAGGAGGGGTTGTGCAAAAAGAGTGGCGATAGTGCTCAAAAACACACACACACACACACACAGGCCAGCTGGTGCAGTGTGTTTTAGTGAATGCTCAGTGAGCCTCTGTGCTTGTGTGACATGAAGCAGTGGAAAAAGAGAACTCTTGCACAACCAGACACATGGTCACGCGTGTGTACACACCCCAACAAACACACATTTATAATTACCTCAACACAGGAATATTTTTCAAACCCACTACTGTATTTCACCCTTTACTCTCTAGTTCTTACATTCTTAAGTAACAGTTCATAGTTCACTGATTATCCTTTTTTGCAAGAATATTGCATAATTTTTCACACTGATTGCACAGTATTGGCTTGCTTGTTTTTGTGTACACGTAACTTGGGATCAGTGTCTCTGGGAGCCCAGCTGCTATGATGTTGTTTATGGAGCCACGCTGGCATATTTTATGTGAATGCTTATAGCCCAGCACCACGAAAGGCTTTATGGGGGTGAGTCATATCCACATAACAAACAAGCCCAGCATGGGAAAATATCATGGTGATGTTAAAGCTAGAGTTAAGGCTCATACACTGAGGCTTTGTACAAACTCGTTCACACTTGAGGCCTAACATTTGGAGAGCAAACACCTCAGGTGCCATACAGGAGGTCTGTGGAGAGATTGTTGCAACAACTGGTAATAAATGGCAATAAGAGCTGAACATTAGGGAACAACTGAGTCAGAGAAAGAGTTTTAAAGATTGTTAATTATTGTCTAAAACATGTGCATGCTTGATGAGGCAGCCATGATAAGTAGCAGATGATTTCTTCATTCCTCTCACATGGTCGGGTTTTTTCAGTATCAGCAAAATCTCAGAGCAGGAATTCTGAGATCCATGACACCATAAGAAGCACGGGGAAAAATGACATAAATGTTTGCACCATATGCTTGCGCAGTCTTCTTTGAAAGGTAATACAGGAGGCAGTTTCATCAGAGCTGAGCTGGAGTCGGTGCCGTTACAGGATTGCTCAACGTGGTTGTGTGTCAGCAGGAGGCTGGACTGGTCGGGCGGAGTGTTCGAGCTCTGAGCTCAACATCACCGGAGCTCACTCACTCTCCCTCTCTCGTGAGTGTGAGGCGGTCTCTCTTTCTCTCTCCTTTTCTATGTCTCTTTCTCTATCTCTCTCCCTCTCAGTCTAGACTCTGAGGGGTAGAAATTTTCTCACCAAAAGTACACAGACCTCAAAGCCACGGGCATTCACTCCAAAAAAGGATTGGATTATCGCTGAAGTTTCATTTCTAATGAATCTCACACTGGGACATGGAGTACACAGTTTGTAGTTTGTTTTAAAAGGACTCATCCTAAAGCAGTCGGGGTTTCGTGTTTGCTTTGATGGTGAATCGGTCTATCAGGATGAACTTGCAGTGGAGCAGCCCGGCACCCTGCATCCGCGCCGGGAGAGTCGCGCACAAGCGGCTGGACTCTGACGATCAGCCGCCGGCCAAATGCGCCAGGCTGAGCACCGAGGTGGGGGACACGCAGGGTCTCCTTGGCACCTCTCCCGGATCCCCGGTCAGCCCCGTCTCCAGCCCTGTCCCGGCGACCATCCAGGGGCCGTCCAGGATAGGACCGTTTCTGCTTCTACCTCTGACAGACCGGGAGAGCGTGCACAGCGCGATGAACACCGACACAGGCGACGAGCTGCTGTGCAAGGTATGCGCAATCCCGTCATTGTGCAATTTCTTTGAATGAATGGTGTTTCGAGACATCGCGTTGCTCAATCGCCTGTCTGACATGTCATCAGTATTTAGCCGAGTTTCCCCCCCCCCCCCCCCAATTGTCATTCTCACGCGAAATTGCAGCAGCAGTGTTGCTTCATTATTTTGAAATCATGAAATTAAATTGTTATTTTACATCTGTTTACAAAACCCCAAAAGGCCAGGCAACCACTTTCGCCTGTGCCGTGTTGTGGATGCTTTTAAAATCCACCGATCTCCACACCACAATGTGTCTGTCAACTCGGCTCATTTGCATACACGTCACTGCAATACGCCATGCTGTGACACACAAAATGCAAACATGAGGGGCAAAGAAAGACTCCAGTGATAAGGATCTGCTTTGATAAGGACAGGGTCTTTCCACTGTTCCACATCCTTGTGTTTATTTTCCATGATAGACCTGCAGGCGTTTGGCTTTGTTGATTAATAAAGTTAATCACTGCATGCTTTGGTGATTCATTTGTCATGCTCTTGCAAAAGCAGCGTATTGAGCTGGAATCAAAGCATATTCTATACGCCTGATTTTCTTTTTTAACTCACTGCTAAATTTGCACGCTTGTACCCTCAGATGATCATTACGAACACACTGACCGATTGCCTCATCCCCCCTCACACAAACTCTCCCTCCCTCCTCCCTATCTTCCTAATTTCCATCTCGATCTGTGTCCCTCATCTTCTTCTACTCTCCTCTCCCTCTCAGGTCTTTGATATGGCGGTGTACCAGGAAAAGATCAGAGCCTACGGGATCCTACCAACTCACAAGAATGTGGCCGGCTTCAGGGACATCATCCTTGGCGAACGCAAAGCTTACGTGTTCTTGGACAAGGACTTTGGGGACATGCACACCCTGGTGAAGAGCTGGCGCAGGCTGGACGAGGATCACGGCTGCAGGCTCTTTCGTCAGGTGGCTCTGGCTGTGGCACACTGCCACCAGGCAGGCATTGTGCTGGGTGACCTCAAACTGCGAAAGTTTGTCTTTGCTGATGAAAAAAGGTGAGAAAACACACCAACACTAAAACATCCTTTATCCACTTGTTACGCATCACATTCCTTTTTCTCCGTTTCCTTCAGCGCTTATAGTATCAGTTAACTTTATTTGGATACAGAATTGAACACATGCAGTGATGTGGGACGAGCCAGTGAAGGCAGCAGCTGATATACACACAGGCCATGTGTGCAGATAGCAATGTGGGCACAGATAGAGTAGGAGGTTCTGTACTTGTGGAGGCAGACTGAATAGCTTCCCAGATTTTCGCCCTCTGTCTGTCTCCCTTTCTCACTCTCGATACGCTTCTTTGCATGTCTGTTGTGTGTTTGCTTTGCATGCGTGCGTGCGTGTATGTAGTGGGTGGCTGTTTGGCAGAGCTGCGAGACGAGGCTGGTGAATGAGACAATCGTCCCCTTCTGCTGTCTATATATTTATTACTCATTATTTATTAAATAATTACATCACAACTTTGCTGCAACAAGGATTCATTCAAACACACTGGCTTCCATGCAAGGAATTCAAAGCACTCCCGCACACATGCTGCTTAATATTTGCATGCGTTGTGTGTACTACACATTATGTCCATGAACACACACACAAAACCCCTGCTTACAAAACTATTTGTCGGCTCTTTGCCCTTGCGTCACACTCTTTCCTGTAAGCGCCTGCTGATGGCAAACAACCCACCCCCCCCCCTTTCCAGGTTTCCAAAGGCCCTTTTTTCATGGAGACTTTTCAACAGTAACATTCTCCAGCCATGACCTCTGGCTTTGCGGGGTCACCCTGGATGAATGAGAGCAGACAGCCAGTGAGAGAAGTTGAAGTCCGTTGTGTCCCTCTGATAGCTATACGGCTGCAGAGCGATGAGTCACAGTGTATATGTGCAGAGGGGAAGAGGAGGGGGGCTGCATGGCTCATTTTCTTTCTTGGCGTTTGTGCGTGTGTGTCCATACATGCATGTTTGTATGAGCGCTGATTACACATTCAGAGCAGGCTCAAAAGCCTTTTTTCACCTGTAATTCACTATTTTGTTAGCGGGGTGACAGCTTTGCAACACTGATGCTGCCACAAGACCCATTTGACCCTGGGGTTGTGGGATGACATCTTCATTTTGAACTTCTCTTTACACTTTGTCTGGAGACATCCTGCAGTGCCACTACAAATAACCTTTTTGTATTGCAACTGTAACAAAGGCTGCAGATTCTTCTGATAGCGTGGAACTTAGAACACCTTGGAACTCATCACACACACAAGTTTCCTTGAAATGTTGGGATCATTTATCCCATCATGCGGTCTTTCAAATTCACAATCAGGCATCTATCAAAGCCCAACTCGCTGTGATGCAATGCACCGGCCAACAATGCAGCACTCGAGCCAGAGCGAGAGAGAAAGTCACAACAATTTGTCAAATGCTATCTACATTTACACACACACACACACAGTGCAGTTGGAAAAGCCAGTTTAGGGAAGGTGACTAGCACTATGAAGCATGCAGCCTTCCCGTGCGTCACTGATGTGGCAACAGCCATTTGAGGGTAATTATGGGATGGCTGGCGCCGTGAGTGTGGGACCCAGGTGCAGATAGCCGCCGCTCGAGAGAGAAAGAGAGGAAGATATGTACTCTCAACAGAAGGATGAGTCACTCCTTCCACCCCTCTAACTCTCTCTGTTCTGTTTCCTTTTCGGTCTGCGTCTCTCCTTCTCCTCTCCTGACTTATCTCCTTCTCTATCTTGGTGTTTGAATATCAGTTCCTTCCTATCTTGGTCCTCCTGGCTGTCACTCTTTTCATCCGGCTCTCTGGCTGTCCATTTCCCTCTCCAGCCACTCTGTCTGACAGCTGAAGGGTCTCTAGATTAAGCTGTGTGCGTTTGAATTGATAAAACCTCAATCAGCGTATTAGTCTGGGGAGCACATCTCGAGAGGCACAAATTAAATTGGAATCAAAAACACATCACGTTTGTTGCTGTAGATGAGAATTAATCACCCATTTTTCCATTCCCATCAATCATTTTGTAAGAGCATTTCAGTGGTAATGTCTCTATCTGCAAATACACACTTTCACAAGCTCAGTTGCTCTGGTGCTGTCCACTCATTAACATGGCTAAATATAGCATTGTATGTGTGAGCAGGGGAGGAGGAGGGTGCTAGAGTTGTATATTTATATGTGTGTTTATGTGACCATGTGTGCCAGGAAGTCGTTGGAAATGTGCATAGGCAGCTCTGATTCTCAAACGGGACTAAATGTGGTCCACTTAGGTCATAGTGAGTTCACTGGTGTGTGTGTGTGTGTGTGTGTGTGTGTGCGTGCGTGCGTGCGTGTGTGTGTGTGTGTGTCCATCTGTTTGTCTGCTGTGCTGCTTAAGGCTCAAGGAAGGATGCTTGTTTTTCCATGATGCAATCAGTGACTTCCATTTAACAGCTCTCTGACATGTTTGACAGTGTTGAACAAAGTCTCTGTTAGATATAGACTCACACACACACACTCAGTGGTGCACTCTATCAAGGATTGTTTTTTGCTTTAAATATTGTTGTACATGGGATATCTAACGATACCATTTCCAACAACAACTTGACATACTGCAACAAATATTTTGTCTGATAAATGCAGATTTATGTGCCGGGATCAACATTTAGTTCTTAGGTTTTAACATGTGAGTAAGATAGCTGTAGCCCTAAGTAGTACTTCATGTCCTTTTGGAAAGGAGATTCCCAAATGTTTTGGGGAAATAGTTACAGTTAGTAAGCATGTAGCTAAGATAAAGCTATTTAAATCACATAATGTTCCTTAGAAATGTCCTGACCTTCTTTTGCCTTTCTCTTCACAGGACACAAGTGAGACTAGAAAGCCTTGAGGACTGCCGCGTCCTAGAAGACCCAAACAACGACTCCATGTCCGACACCCACGGCTGCCCTGCCTACGTCAGCCCAGAGATCCTCAACGGCTCAGCACCTTACTCTGGCAAAATGGCCGACATGTGGAGCCTTGGGGTCATGCTGTACACGATGCTGGTTGGCCGCTACCCCTTCCACGACCCCGACCCCGCCACGCTGTTTTCCAAAATCCGCAGAGGCCAGTGCTGTTTGCCAGAGGGCTTGTCGCCCAGGGCCAAGTGTCTGCTCCAGAGCCTGCTGAGGAAAGAACCCTCGGAGAGACTCACGGCCAATGAGCTGCTCGCTCACCCGTGGTTCCACCAGCCGCCATCGTCGCAGGAAGTGGCGCTGGGTGAACAGGAAGTGAGTTCGGCAGAACAGATGGTGCCATCCTTTGACGTGGAAGAGCAGGATGATCTCTTCTGCTGACGGACTCGATTAAGCTGAGTCTGGCTAAAGGACCAAATCAAAGATTGCTATAAGGGATCCATCGTTGTCTTTTTACATTGGCACTTTTTAGAAAACCCATTTGTGTACTGTTGAGTGTACATACACCCTCAAGCTTTCTACAAGAACTTACTGTACTGTATTTGGTTGTCGTATATGTGTTACTTGTTAAGGGCATTGTTCACAATGATAATACATTGTGTACGATTTTGAAAATATTTGGTGCTAAAAGAAACGACGAGGACTTTTCCAGATTATGTTCACAAAAGAATCCCTTCAGGCTACTATGAGTGTATCATAGAAAATGAACCCAAGGCTAACAGTCGTCACCAATGCTTGCTCTCAGCCTGGACTGACAACGCTTCAGAAAGCATTACAAGAATGCTGCTCAACGGGAGGAGACGTGATGTTGTTCCTCTCACTCCCTGACCGGACTGGAGGCTCCGCCAGCTGACTCACCAACCGGCTCGAGGAAGGCCTCGCACAAACTTGACGTCTCGCAGCAGGCGGTGTCATAGAGTGAGAAAGATGCTTAGCGGAGGACTGATGTGTCACACTCAGCGGGGATGCTAGGAAGGTCCCTCACTGCCAAGCTGGCAACGTATCAGCAAATGGAGAGCATTTACAAATCTCACACCAAGCGCAGAAGGTTGAGAAAGGCAGGGTGTTACTGGAGTAAAATTCACAGAAAAGTGTGGAAAGTTTGTCACACACACACACACACTTCACAATAATCAGTGTCACTGGGCCGACACAGAAAACGGTACAAAACTCAGTAATTTATTTATTTTTAACAGTTAAAACTAAAGCAATTAAATTGTTGAATCAAGAATTCATTATAATAAAGTTGCATCAGCTATTAACAGTGCAATTTTAACTGTGATCAATCTGTTTGGCTCTTCTGTAATGCTGTAATTAGCCACAGCTAAACCTAACACTAATGCCAGTTTAAAACTTAATGCAGTAAGTAGGCCTGGTCACATGCCCTTGCAGCAACAGAGATGATTGGATAAATCTTACGCCTCAAGGCATGATGCAACAGTAGGAATTAAGTGGGGAAAGTAAAAACACGGAGAATGTATATGGTACTTCCTCCTGACGCAATACGAGTTAACTCTCAATCCAACAATGTTTGTATTTTTTAAGAAATGTGTCAAATATCCAGTTAAGCCATCAAGTCAAAAAGAAACAGAAAAATTAAGACTTCCACTTAGAAGTTGAACCTGTTTTTGTTCATTTCTGTTGGAACATTATGTCAAGCTGAGTTGCTTTCACAGAGCTGAGCTGTGCCGAGTGTTGTGCCCGTATCACTGTGTTTCATAAACTGAATGGCTCTGAATCAGTCGCAGTCATATCATATTTGATGTTGGTTGTCTGATGATGACTCAACACTCGAGCGTGTCTGCAGTGAACAGTCCTGACCTTGGCTGGAAGAATCTGTTCCGACTGTTTCGCTTCTTTAAAAATGGTACTTCTTTCCCCCTTCCTTTTTATTTTCCCGTTGAAAGCTGCGGATCCATGGAGACTCGTCATATAGTTAGTGACATGAATTTACTGCATTCTAAAATATGTTTTATCGTGGATTGTGACAGGCGGATGAAGCGCTTCAGTGACGTTTATCCTCACAGGCTGTAGACCTGCAGTTAGCTACATTTGTTTTGACCCTGGTACTAAATGTGGCATATCTGAGAAGCACTGTGCATTCAATTTTTCACACAGTAGGCTGATAAAACATCTGTTGCAGTTCTCTAATTATTTTCTCTCATCTGCTTGAAAAACCAGATGGTAACCGACTTGTGACAATCTGAATTGTTCCTTACAGAAAAGTAATTTAAGAGATTTATGATTTTGTTCCCGAATCATATATGTAAATTGAGTCACACATTCATGTGATACGTAGAGTAAACTGACACGGGTGCACAAACTTCATATTGCACTGTGAATTATGTATTTGTGACACAACCTAGAGGCTTTTAAAGGTCTAGACAGGTTACACAGGAAATATATTCATTGTACAAAAGATGTAAATATGTATATTTCAAATATGTGTGAAGATGTTGAATAAAGATCACATTTTTTCATATTCACATTGTTTGTTTTTTCATTAATGATCATTGTATGTCTCCCACACATACCCATGCAAACACCTGCACATTTCACCGCTTGACTGCATGCCTAGAAGTCTTTCCTGCAAGAATTCTCTCCACACAGCTCTTCATCACTGCGGAAGAAAACAATGCATTTTCAATTTCCTCCTTGAAAAGGAAAAAAACAACTCTCCCTCTCCCTCCATCTCTACCTTTAAACATTTACTCTTCTCTGACCTTTGCGTAATGTAACATTTAACTCCTCAAACACACAAATGTCAATAGTGGGTCAGTGTCTTTTCCTGGAACAAGGGGGAGCATGAACCCCCTTTGTCCTGAGCTTTAGCAGTAACCGGTGGAACTCATCAAACACTGAACACCAACGTTATTAAATCTCAAATATTTTCCTTTTTTCTATCTAATCCACTTCGGCTTATGAATCATTGTTTGACCTATAAGAGCTTGGCATGTCTCCACCGTCGTTGTGTTATGACTACCTTAGGCATGGCTGGCTGTGGCTTGCGTAAGCGCTGTGTGCGTGTGTTAATGTGCATACCTGCCTGTGTGCGTGTGTGTGTGTGTGTGTGTGTGTGTGTGTGTGTGTGTGTGTGTGTGTGTGTGTGTGTGTGTGTGTGTGTGTGTGTGTGTGTGTGTGTGTGTGTGTGTGTGTGTGTGTGTGTGTGTGTGTGTGTGTGTGTGTGTGTGTGTGAGCAGAAAAGTCAGATTAGGTATCAACAGGTTAGCTGGTGTGTCTCAGTAGCTGGGAAACTGCCAAACTAGCGATTGCTTAACACTTCAGATCCGGGCTCCTCGGGGGGATGTCTACACGGCCACCAAAAATGAGGTTAGCATTAGGTCAAGTAATGAATATCTGAAGAATCGTGTGTGTATGGGAAAGGGTTTGTTTGAATAAAAGAGTTGGTTGAGATAAGGTGTGTGAGAAAACGTTATACATAAAGAAGTCTTTCATTGAAGGCTTTATAGGTTTAAAGATAGGGAAATCGTTTTGGGAAATAGGCTCATGCCCTTTCTTTTTGCGAGTTAGATGAAAAGATTGACACTAGTCTTTAGTTTGTAGCCAACACTTAATGTAATGCTGGATGCTGGTTAGCTTAGCTAGCATAAAAAAAGTATTTAAAGTGACGCTGGTGAGCAATGTTGTAACTTTAGGACAAAGCCATGTTAGCTGTTAACAAGTTTCCAGTCTTTATTCTAGGCTAAGCTAACCGGTTCCTAGCATTAGCTTCATATTTACGGTACAGAAGTGAGAATCATCTAATTTAAGCAAGACAGTGAAAGAAAAGATTTTCCAAAATGTCAAATGGTTCCTTTAAAAAGGGTTATAATAGAAAAGGTCATGGTTAGAAATCAAACAGTATAGTCTTTTGTTGTGAGGAGTAAAATAAATAGGTGTTCTCCATTGTTTGTCTGTGTGATCTCATCCTGTCTAGTCCCTTGACCAAAAGTGTAAACTTTATCCTTCCTTGTGATCAGGAATCATTTAAGTTTCCCCAACCACATAAACCTTTACATAACACAGTTCACAAACTTCCTTATTGGATAGACACACACCGGAGTGTCATCGGACACTTCCTTGATCCTCCATTAGCAAACCTCTTTTGATGAAAGAGAAATTACAGAGAGAGAAGTTTCTGGTATTTCAGGGGAAGTTTGAAGCCATTTTAGGGCAAATTGAAAATCTGCAATGCTACAGTTACATCTTCTATATAAAAACATAACTTTGACAAATAACTTTTTTTTTTCAGAGGAAACCTATTTTAGTTGTTTAAAAGGTGGACCACACACGATCAGGGGATCACTGTGTCCAAAGGCCCTGCTTTACACACATAAACCACACAGGGAAGTGAAGAAGCAGATCTGAGATTTGAAAGTGGAGCACCTGCTTCAGTCTGTGATGAGGTTAAGTATTGTGTTTCTTCCTGGAACTCTTTGGCACTGGCAAACACTCCACTGATGCAATGGAAACGGTCTCCACTATTTAAATAAGTCTTGACCTGATTTATTTCATTATACAAATCCCTGATGGAATGAGCGCTATTGTGTTGATATTAGTTTGGTGTGGAGTCTGACTGCTTGTAATAGGGTTGGTATTTACAAGTGTAATCTTAAATCTCAAAGGCATACCTTTATTTAAATCGTGTCAAGTTGTGATATCTTCTGCCATCTTGTGGCTGTAAGGCAAACTGCAGCTTTGTGGCAAAAAAACATGTTGTGCTGTGATACGTGTCCTTGTAGGGTAAATACTGTTACACTCCTCTGTTGCTCTTCCCGATTGTCCTTCTAATGTCTCCTCAGTTAAAATGTGTTTTTGTTCTTGTTATTTGTTTATTTCTGATCTGAAACGCTTTTAAAGAGGACTTTATTGGCCATTATTAAAGCCATTTCTTTAAAAAGGCATTTCTAAGTTTGCCTTATTTGGAAAGTGCATAACAAATATTTGTAATTTCTAATACAGTTCTGAAATGAAACTTTTTTTTAAAATGAAGCCTACAGAAGAAATGTGAGATATGGCTGCTTTTCTCATTTTATATTATGGTGAATTAAATAGCTTTGTCAACCATACAAAAACAAGCCATCTGAAAGTTTACACCTTGGACATCTTGGATATGTAATGCTATTTTCTAATGATTAATAACCCAATCAATCAATTGATGAAAACGGGCTCTTTTGGAGTATTTCACAAAGAAAAGTGATGTCCTTGAGATGTAACATGTTGAAGGCATTTCTTCCTTCAAAGTAATTACATTGTTTTGAACGTTTTGAAACCTCTATTGTTTCAATTCAAGCTAAGGATGTTGTTCTTCAATGATTAAGTTGGCATTTTGCTGCGATCCTTTCCACATTACTGCCACCTGTTGAATAGTGAAAGTGTAATAATGGGAAACCACTACCAGACGTTTGTATTGTGTTCACTGTCCACGAAAACAAACGGGAACACACCCATCCAAACATAGCTTTGAAGCCCTACAAATTGTCAGAAGCTCTTTTAAATGAGAAAATAATCAGTCAGTAATAAACACAATCGCTAGGTGTTGCCCGAGTAAAACGATCAAATAGCATTATGTTTCTAGACCAGCGCGAGACTCTATTGGAGGTAAATAAGAATCTTGAGTGTTGTCTGAGTCAACAGGCTCTGACATGAGGGGAATGTTTGTCTGAGGAGGTTATTTTGAGCAAAGTGGCCCCTGAAGGCTCTGTCTGTGTCATCACCATGATTGTGTATTCAGACAAATAAATGGAAACCGAAAAACATTCAAATGTGACGATAACAGAGCCCTGGGATGACCGTTTTACAGGCTTTGTTTGCCCTGACTTCTTTAACTCGTGTTAATCTGTAATTCAGTGCTTGGCAGGTTCCCCTGTGTCTGAGCCCTAAATCATGCCTGGACATTTAAAATATATAATAATGCCAGCTTGCTCCTTAAAGCCTTGTTGATAAAGGTGTATATTAAACAGAGCTTACACTAACTTGATACGTTAAGGATTCCCTCCCCACATCAGACTCCTGAACACAGTTTATGATGACTTTGTTATGACAACAAAAGTCCAGGAGAGGGCGATGTTTTCATGCACCTGGCCTGGTTGTTCTTCATCTTTGCAATTTAATTACCCTGTTTTACATTAGAAACAGGTGGATCATAAGAGCAATATATCATGGTATGGAATTTATAACAAACAAGCATTGAAATACAAAATAATGTAGTTTTTTTAATAGGTAAACATGCACATGTGTTATCAGCAACAATTCTTCTGATGAAATCTACATAACTAAAAGAACATCTGATCACTGAGGTTTTTTTTATTATAATAGGCTGGATGATTGGCAGTCATTCTTTCCAAAGCAATTTAAATGCATTCCCATCTATATTGATATTTTAGGCAAATATGGTACTACCTCAGATTTGAGCTCTATGGGGTTTTGAACAGCAGCAGACCAAATTCGTTTAAATTGTTTGGTTGTAAAATCGTCCATCTGTCAGCCTTTCTGGCCTCAACTGGCGACAATTTAAAATTGTCGCCAGATTATCCAATCAGCGTAAGAACACACAGAGCTCTAATAAAGCAAATGAGAAATATTTGAAGAATTCTCAGCGGCACCTTTCTGCTGTATTCTGCTCTGCAGAGACGTGTGTGATGTGAGTCAAGGATAATTATACAACAATTATTGTCCAATTTTATTTTACTCTTCAGTGTCAGAGTATTTTATTAGCAGATCCTCAATTTGGCCTTGAAGAAAACTTAAATGTAAGATGAGTTTAGTTTATAGTTCATTGTACCGGAGTAGTGTGTGCACACCTTATGAGTAATGTCCTTTAATGTTCTATGAAATCTAACCTTGACTGGAATAAAGAGACTGAATGGGATTGTCAGAAATGTATATGGTGTGCCCTCAAATATTTGACCATATTTTCCAGGAGACTATTCATTTAATTCATTTTTCTTATTCACCGTTTGTCTTTCATTATCATACTATCAGTAGATTTCCTCATCTATTGACATGATGGGACCTCATATGTGCATGCATTCACACAGTCACTTCTCAACACACACACACTCTCACAAACACTTGACCTCAATGCCAATTTTGAGTCATATTGGGCAAAAACTGTGGCCACCATTACAGAGCTTAAAAAAAGTCTATTTTCACACACACCTATCGCTGTCCTCACCTTTCTGTATTATTGAGTCTATCGCTCAGTTGGACATGGTTACTGAGCCTGTTTCATTAAAGTAAATGTGTCTCTGCTGGGTAAAAGAGACGAAACAAAGATAAGTGATTCTAAGTGCTAAGCAAACAACACATCCCACAAGTGCTCATCATTACATCCATTCAGTTCTGTACGATTCGCTGCAGATTCCTGGAAATGTGTTATTCTATCACCGGCTTTGTGCGCTCTGCCTGCCATGTGAACACTGACATCACTGACTGCTGCTAATGGGGCCAATGGAGTGAACCAACGCTTCTCTAAAAGGCTTTG